TCTGGTGCCACATGAGCACCAAAGCCCCCTGATGCTGTGGTAGTTTTTAAGTGAGAAGCTAGAGACAGAAGTTAGTACCTGAAGTACTTCATAGAATCATCATGGAATCATGGAATGATTTGGGATGGAAGGGACCTTAAAGCTCATCCAGTTTCAACCCCCTGCCATGAGCAGGGACACCTTCCACTAGACCAGGTTGCTCCAAGCCCTGTCCAACCTGGCCTTGAACAATGCCAGGGATGGGGCATAAACTTGCAGGGATGGGGCACTTCATCTCTGAGCTGCTTGAAGTTCTCGGTTGAGCACCATCTGGTCTCAGCAGTTGGCTACTGCTCATTTTGTTAACGTGTTGCTTCATCTTTTATACTTACACTTTAATCTGAGACATGTTTTATCAATTACTCCCCTTAAAGAAGCTTCCCAGTACTGGAGTTTACCCAAACTCATCCAGCCCACTCACAAATGCAAAAATTCATTTGGCTTTCATTTTATGGCTGTCTCTTCTCCATCTCCAGATGTTTCTGCTGCTTCTTAAACAATCTATTTGCCAAACTCTGGCTGGCTCCCTGGTCTTTCCAGGAAAGACTTGCTATTATTTTTGTATCTTTAGCAAGTTGACCCTAGAACCTCCTTCTGGCTGCTTATCATGACTTTGTATTTAGCCATCAGAGATTATAGTCCCTTCTTTTCCTAATTTGGATACAGCTTTTTGAAGGAACCCTTCTTCACCCTTACTATGCTTTTTACTCAGTCTTCCTTTTATACATTCTCTTTCTCTAGTGAATTTGTTCTGCCCCCAGAACAGCAGCTTTAAACACTGTCCGTGCCACTTGCAAAGACTTTTCTCTTTTAGATGTTCCTTTTAGGCCCCTTTTAATGTCTTGTTTTATATTGCTCTTCTTTTTTGATCGAAAGCAGAATACTGCTGATTTTCTTTTTCTTGGCACTACATGGGTGTGGAATCCTGGATTTCTACAGAGTAGTTATTTACAATTAATATTATGACACTGTTTAGGACCAAAACAGGAATTGCTTTTCCTCTTCTGGCTTCTCAACTAGCAGTCAAGAACAGTTTCTAAGCAGTTAGATACTCCCATGGCACTTACCCAACCCAGGGTTGAGTTATTGAAGTCCCTATGATTGTTTTTCTGCCCTGTGGGCTCTCTAATCTCCCCACCTTTTTAGCCTGGAGATGCAGTCCTAGCACTGCATTTTCCCTGTTTATTTCTGGGACTCCAAACCACTGAGACTCAATCTGATTTATCGACAGAGTTAACTGGTAACTGGAAGATTCCCTAAGCTTTCTTTAAAATACAACACCCCCTGACATGCCTCATTCTGCCTTTTATTTTACATCTAGCAATATAATACAGAACAAATTTGATTGTTGACTTTTCTGATTAGTTTTCAAAACCTGAGGTTATCTTCTCACTGAGATTAATACTGTTGTGGCCTCTGTGTGAAAGAAGACAGGCTGGTCATGATTTCATGTCTTGCTCATGGCAAGGTATGTATATGCATACATACCCCCTGCATAATGATTCCAGTAACTGGTTCTCTATTAGCTTAGCTGGAGTGTGTGGATTTCTGCAGTGGAGTCCTATCTTCATTACTTTTCCTCAACTGTTTCTAGAATGTATTTTGATTTGTTGGTGCTGGCACAAAGATTCTTTCATATTCAGTAACAGAAGAAATAATATTCTAGGTAGGAGAGTGGAAAAAAATAGATGAGTGAGTCCAGAGAAGGCCACAAAGATGCTCACAGGGCTAGAGCATCTCACCTATGGAGAGAGGCTGAGAGAGCTGGGCTTGTTCTTCTCCAGAGAGACCCTAGAGTAGCTTCCAGTGCCTAAAGGGGACAAAGAGAAAGCTGGAGATGAGCTTTTGACAAAGGCAGGTAGTGACAGGATAAGGGAGAATGGCTTTAAACTGGAAGATTAGATTTAGATTAGATATTAGGGAGTTCTTCCCTGTGAGGGTGCTGAGGCACTGGCACAGGGTGCCCAGAGAAGCTGTGGCTGCCCCATCCCTGGCAGTGTTCAGCCAGGTTGGACGGAGCTTGGAGCAACCTGCTCTAGTGGAACGTGTTCCTGTCTATGGCAGGGTGTTGGAATTGGATGAGCTTTAAGATCCCTTCCAACTCAAACCATGCTGTCATTCTATGATTCTACATTATCCATGTGGTTTTGCCATTGTCCTCCATGCAAATTGGGCAAGTCCCACTTACACAGATGACTGATGTAATCACATATACTATTCTAAGTATATAATTGATGTCTAATCCCAGCAGGTACGTTACTTTTTAAAATTATTGTGGAAAACAGCATTTTTAGCAATAAACACCTAGTTACAAAAGCACTCTGTTGAGAAAACGCTTCTGCTATGAAGGACACTGGGACTGTTTAAGCATTTCTACTCTAGTACAACAGCAGTGTCACTGTTCTGCAATTCATTCGTCAATCAGAATAAACATTAAAGCGTAACACAGCTTAATAAAACCATTAGAGCTGTGCCACAGAAATAATTGCAAAAACTGGTAATAAGGGAGAGCCATTTACTTAAATGGAGCATTCTTTTAAAGTGATGATTTACCTCACCTCACCCATCAAAGCAGGAACATGGGAAGCAGCAGTGTTTATGATTCAGGGTCTTTCCTAGAAGACAAAATTGATGACTGAACTGGAAAACATCTTTCTTACATGGCCCTAATTATGCTCAGAGCTGAAATCTCTGATTCAGCAATGGCTTGATCCTGTTCACTGATAAAAAATGAAAGGCATCCAGGGGCCCAGTTCTACAGACGAGTAAGGTTTCTGTGGAAACAGCTAGACAGGAGCTCACAGTTAAAGTAGCAATACAGGTAAGAAGGCAATTCTAAAAGAAAAAAACAACTGAGAAAATAACAGGTATGTACAAATCTAAAACCAGACCCAAATAAATGATTTTCTTTTAGCAGCTGGTGCTGATGCCAAGGGGATGGTGTTCTCAGGCTTGCTTAAATAAAGATAATAAGGATAAATGTTGTGGAGCTTCTAGAACTGTTCTGGTGTCTAACTCCCACTTTCAGATACACTTAAAGCCCCCTTTCCATGTATATTTAACATTCTAAATGTCTCAGAGAATCATTAAGTCCATAACTACAGATCTCAGAGATGGTGGGATCTATTATTGCACAATGTTTGATTAGATGCTGCCTCTCTGCCCATCCACCTTTCCAGCATGGCCCAGCAGTGTGACCTACATGTACACCACTGTGTGTACCTCTTATATCCAAACCCCAGACCATTGCTGATCCACTGCCTCCCTTCACAAAAGAGCAGTGCTTCAGAGCCCACATCATGCAGCAGCAGCAGGAGCCAGCAGCAGCACGGTCCACACCTCTGTCAGCTCCCACATCCAAACATATTTATTGCCACAATGCATTACATTACCACTGTCAACACTGCCATAGTGACATGCTTTCAGCAGCAAATATAACAGTTGAAAACTGATTTTAATCTGTTTCTAGCAATTTTAGACTCTGATGGAAGTGAGCATGTTCTGAAATGCTTTCTGCCATTTATCTTATTTATGTTTTCTTCCCCATGGATGCCATATTTTCTCTTACAATGACGTCTTTTCTCAGATCTGTTAAGGTTTTGTTTCTGATCTGCTAACTCCCGCATCTGTAAAAGAAGTTAATATAATGTCTCTTTGTTGCAGCCACTTTTCTTCAGGGCTGCTTGCAAAGACTGGTTGTTTCCCAACGTGATTGGCCCTGTGACACCCTTGTGCATGCCTGGCTGCACAGCTGGGGTCTTTATTTACATCTTCTGCTTAGAGCAGCTTCCAGTGCTGTAAGGATCTGACATGAAATCTGTAGAGGGAGTTTTTATAAGGGCCTGTAAGGACAGGTCAAGAGGGAATGATTTAACTGATGGGGAGGAGACTAAGATGAGCTCTTAGGCAGAAGCTCTTCCCTGTGAGGGTGCTGAGGCGCTGGCACAGGGTGCCCAGAGAAGCTGTGGCTGCCCCAGCCCTGGCAGTGTTCAAGGCCAGGTTGGATACAGGGGCTTGGAGCAAGCTGCTCTAGTGGAAGGGGTCCCTGCCTGTGGCAGGGGGCTGGAACTGGATGAGCTTTAGGGTTCCTTTCAACCCAAACCATCCTATGGAAAGAGCACATCAGATGATCGTTGATGTCCGTTCCAACTGTAGATCCCATGACTCTATGCTGTTCTTGTTTTGCAGCAATCGTATAGGCTAGGGAGTAATTTTTAGGTACCATAGCAATAACCCAGATATTTAAAAACAAAACAAAAATGCATTTTCCTAGCCAGCACTGTAATGCAATGCCTTCATCTGTAATGACTTAATTCGTTGTCTTGCTTAACCAGCTGTCTCCCGCAGCCGGCACCTGGCTTCCTAGCTCTGCTCCAGTGGTTTTTTAGCTTTTTTCCTTTGTGGTCCAGCTGGTGACTTCTACATCCATGATCAGGTGCACCTACAGTTGCTCCTCCTCTCCTGCAACCCAAGCAGCCGTTTTACACATCCCACCACTAAATCAGATCTGTTTCCATGCTTATTGTGGCAGCCTTCCGTCAGGAAAACAATTCCCTAAGGCGGCTGTGGAGAGGCCTGAAAGCCCTCACGCACCCAAGCTCCCGGGAGTGAAAGGTACAATAAAAGCAACTAAAAACGCTGTCATTTGGGGTCTGATCTCCTTTTACCACATAAAGCGCTGCACGGATAGCGAGGTGAAGCAGTGACGGGCTGCGGGGCTGAGGTGACGGAGGGCTCGGATTCCCCCGCTCGACCCCTTGGCGAAAAGTAACCCCACGGCCACGATGTCCTAAGGAAACAAAGGTCTGGAAAGCGTTAATTTGGGAAATGACTCCATTGGACACGGTGGAGCTAAACCGCTGCCCCACCAACCGCCCACCCCGCACCTCCTCCCCTCAGCCGCGCAGGCCCCGCTCTCCCCCCCTCCCCGTTCCCCCCGCGCTCGGCTCCCATTGGCTGCGCTCCGCCACGTGCTGCGGCGCCCCCGCCTTTCCCCCCCTCCTCTCCCTCCGCCGGGTCCCGCGGAGCCGTTACCTGCGGCGGGGCTGCGCTCCCCGCCCCGATGCGCAGCCGAGGCGCCCGCACCCGGCCCGGCGCAGGTAGAGGCGGCGGGGCCGGCGGCGGGTTGGGGGTTATTCGCTGTGGTGGTGGTGGGGGCCGGTGCGGCGGAGCGGGGCCTGCGCTCAGGGGGGACGTGGTAGCGCGGAGGGGGCTTCGCCATCTGAGGCGCCTCAGGGGCCTCTGTCGCCGCCGAGAAGCGGGTGAGGTGCCGCTGAGGCGCGAAGGCACCAGCGTTTTGGGGGTGTTTTCCGGGCGTTCCAGTGGTGTTTATGCGTCTCCGGAGGTCTCGGGGGTCACCTGGGACATGCCGCAACGGCCCCCCCCCAACCCCCATACTGTCATGGGGGGGCTGAGGCGTTTAGGCTGTGCCCCACGAGGTCTGTTGTGGGGAGGGCAAAGGGACGCAAGGCCCGGGAGGTCTCGGTGGTGAGGTGCGGGCTGCGGGTTTTTGAGGAGATGGGGTTGAGTCTGGCTCGGGCCTCTCCTGGGAGGGAGCGGAATGCAGCTGGGGTTGTTCTGTATAGGCTTACACTTGTCTGCAGGTTGCGATAGCATTTTTGTCTTGGGAGCGATGTGACTGAAACAAATCACTTCTGCCATTGCTGCCAAAACCTTATTTTCTTCAGCAAGAGTTTTTTTTCGTGCTGAGTTGTTTGGTTCTTTGTTTGTTTGTTTCAGTCGATAACATCAAAATGCAAGGCTGATGAAGGAGAGATGTTTGTTTTGCAGCTTGCTTTAGTTATGGAAATGAATGGGAAATGTTCATAAAATTACCAGAGGTAAACAGCTTTCCTGTGGTAAATGGCTGGTTTTGTCTCATTGTGAGAAAAAGGGTAAATAAAGATGCATGTGTCTTACTTCTCTAAAGAAGACTTATTGAGATAAATGCTCTTTATGCTTCTTAAGTGGATGCCTGTTAAATGCAGCTTATGAAGGGACTGTAGGGGTGCAGTTTAGAAGTGCCGTGTGGTTTTCCTGCTGACTGTTTTGCTGCAGTGAGGTTACTATCTCCCTTACGGATGGCTCAGCAGGAAACGTTGAGCTGTCTTGCAAGCCCTTTGCTAGCCAGGCAAGGGGTAGCACACACAGGGAATTTCATCTAAAGGTCAAAATGCAGCTGCAGAGTTAGTGCATCACTTCCTCGGGGGTGATGAGAAATGAGTTTGTTCTGACCTCTGTTTTCCTGGAATTTCTTGGGATTTAGCATCCTCCCTTCCATAGAGTTTGTTTGAATTGGCCAAATGATTAACAGGCAGTTAGGGGCAGGATGTAGGAAGCCAGAGTGGGATAGCAGAAACTTCCTTTTGCTGAGCAAAAGGGGCTAAAAGTGTTGAATTTTGTTTCTTTTGGACATACAGTTAGGTGATGGATGTGGAACGTGCCAAGATGCCGTGGAGTTGGTGTGTTTGGAGGGTGGGTTTTTTAGATAAGAGAGCCCGGACAATTGAAGTCGGGTTTGAGTTTTGATGAAGACTGCATTACTGAAGAAGACCCAGCCAGCGCTTTCAAGTTGTCATGGAGCAGTTTTCATGTATAAGTGATTTTGAATGTAACTTGCTCAGACACAACAGATTAAAGCATCTGCACTTCAGAACTGCACAGTAGTAATTTGGACTCAGGGCTTCTAGATCATGGAGGGTCTCCCCTGTTGCAAGACAACTCTGTCTCATAAGAGCATTTGTAAAATATTAAAGACTTCTTTAAAGCTTGTGTAAGTTGCAGGTTTCCATTACTCCTATGGGATGGCTATTTCTTTGCTGCTCAGGAACCTTTTGATCCAAATAGTCCCTATTTATTTATGACCACGTTTTCCTCTGTGCTAGCATTGTCTGAATTGTTTGCTTTCAGCTTTGGTGTTAAATGTTTCAGGTATCTAAAGACAAATTCTCAGCCTGTTTTGTGAAGCTAAACAAGTCAAGTTCTGTTCTCCTTGGGAGCAGCACTTCAGCCATCCCACCAGCTCTTTTGCAACCTGAAGTCTTGAATTCGGAAATTAAGTGTTAAATTTGGTTCCAACAATGTTCTGTCCTGTATTGAGATTTCCTTTTAAGCCTCCTTTTCATGGCATCTCCTTTTTTGCTTCTGTAGGCTCAAGTGTGATTTCTACCATAATCTCTGAGTGTTAGATGATACAGTGGTAAAAATGCTGCTGTACTGTTAACATTGTTCCATAATTGCCAGTTGTTTGGTGCTATTCTGCTGCATAATTCAGATGTAATATGAAACATCTTGGCTGTGTAAGTATGCTGGCGTGTTTCCTTAGCCCAGTAAAGATTAATGCTATGCCCTTTCTTTTCCAACCATTTCTTTTAGGGCAGATTTATTCCTCCAACTTCCCATGTAAGGTGAAAGACCTCATTGGTTTTGGCTTCCTGGTGGGGCTCAAAAATATCTTCCACCCATGCTGGATAAAGTTGCCCAGCTCGTGGTGGGTGATGTGCTGATATACTTTGCTCTCATCCTCCCCTCCTGGCTGGCATGGCTCTTCCCCAAAGAACTGGAATAGATCCCTGCTTCCACAAGTGCAGGCTCTGCAGGCCCGGGGAGGAGGATGTGCTGGGAAAGGAGCCTGTGAGGCGTATAGGAGGGGTTTGTGAGGAGCAGCTGCCTGCTGGCGATTCGTTCTTCCTGTGTTCCTGAGTTAAGCAGATGCTGAGAAGAGTGGCTGCCTCAGGTTTTGAACAGCCCAAGCAGGCAGGCCACTGCTTTTTCACACAAGGAAATGAAAGGGGAAACTGGGATTTCCTCTAAAATACACCCTAAAACCAGAAGGGGGGAGAGGGCATGAGGGGGGCTCGAAAGCTTCCTCTGCAAGAAATAAATATATCTTTTTAATACCACTGCTCTTAACAGCAGTGCTTTAACTCGCCTCTTTCTTCCTGCTTGGCTGACTTGCTGACTTTCTGTGGCTCATTTGGGAGTCAGAAAAATTCCAAAGCGAGATACTATTCTCATCTGTCAGAAAGCATCTGCTGCCCTCTTAAGTGTTGAAGCGCAGCGTGTTGATATCTCTTGTGTTAATGTATTATGGATTTTTGCTGTTCCTCACTTCAGAGCTTCTGGAAGAGGTTTCACAGAAGAGCTTAGAAAGCTTGACTAGAGAAGAGGGTGCCATAGGAGAAGTGAAATTAAGAAGGTGATCCCCGTTCTGAGCATTGAACTGTCATTTAAAACCTCACTAAGATTTCCTGCCTATAATGTTATTGTAGCAGACACTATTAATAGCCAAAAAGCTTCCTGTGAATGCTGCTGAAAGTAAGTGATGGTGTTACATTCTGAGCATATCTAATTAAGCTGATAATTGGACAGGATTTGAGCTGGAACCAATTATTTTGTCTTCAATCTGGATGACTCAACGTTAAGAGCAAGTTATAGCCTACCTATGTGTATCCTTCCTAAAGGAAAAGACTTGGCAAATATATACGGTAATGTAAAGTTACTAGTGATTTCATGAGTGAGTTGATGCCTGATGTTGCAAAGAGGATGAGCCATTAAACAATAAGAAGAAAACACCAGGACAGCATCATAAAGCAAGGAGAGAAAAACGATGATGCCTCTAAGGTACTGTTGATACCTTACCAATAGTAAGGTACCAATGAATACCTGGCTGGTATTCATGGCTCCAGGCAAAATAATTTTCACGTTGTTAGTGCCTTTGAGAGTGTCTGTAAACTGCTCTGAAATGCCCATTTGCCTCTTATTTCACTTTTTGCCAATAGTGTCCGCATGTGTGGTGATTCGTTATTACGCCCTCATTTTTTGAGGGGACAGATCTTGACCAGATGAATTGCAGATTGTACAGATGTTGCTGGTTTTCTGTTTTTATTGTCTGATTAACAAGCCTTAATAGTCAAAGATTTGTCCTGTCTCTACGGTCCCTGATGAAGAGTCCCTCCCCAGCATCCTTATAGGCCTGCTTCAGTCCTTATGATGTCTCCATGCAGCCTTCTCCAGGCAGAACAGCCCCAACTTTCTCAGCTTGTCTTCATACAGGAGGTGCTCCAGCCCCTGATTATCCTTGTGGCCTCCTCTGAACTTCCTCCACCAGCTCAGTGTCCTTCTTATGTTGAGGACACCAGAACTGCGCACAGTGATGCTAGTGGGGTCTTACGAGAGCACAGTAGAGGGGCAAGAAGTAGGTCCTTCATCCTACTGGTCATGCTCCTTTTAATGCAGCCCAGGATATGGTTGGCTTTCACCCATGGCAGGGAGCTGGATGATCTTAAGATCCTTTCCAACTAAAATCATTCTATGATTCTGTGAAAGTTCATTTTGCAAGATGCATTATGCACTAATGTGATCAATATCCTGTTGTAGGTACTTGTGACCATATTATAGGCCAAACTTCTTTCTGCCATCAAGGATGTATTCTTTCCATTGACTTTATTAAATTAACCAAAACAATTGACTCTGCTGCTCATCACAACAGGCATATCTGTCAAATGCTTTTCTTCATTCAGTAGTAATAGGTGCTAAGCAGATAATATTCAAAGCAAGTTTTTATCCACTATCAGTTAAAGTACTGACTCTACTGTGGGGTCTGTATAGTTGCAATCAAAAACATAACTGACATATGTCTCTTAATTTTTTACTTCAGTTCCTGTTTTTCCTCTGGCAAGAAGCTGTTAGGTACTCATCTGCTCCCTGGCTGCTATCTCTTTGTCTTGAGAAATTTCCCACTAGGGAGTGGTACGATGATGATCAGTGAGTTATTGGAAGATAAATATCCAATGGTTCATACATTGTTACAGATTAGAACGCAAGAATATCTTGTGCCTCAGGGTGTCCCTGATAAGTTTGCCTCAAATCTTCAATATCTGTGGAATTTTTTCTCATTCTTGTGGTTCTAAGGGATTTCTGTCTTGTACCATTGAACAAGAGTCTTAAAGAAGGCACTTCAGTGTTTATTGTGTTAGAGAAAGAAGCATCCCAAAGGAGCTGTTTCTGATTGGGAAAACTTGTCTGTTCCTTTACATTCTTTCCCCTGAGTATTTTGTCACTATTGGCAAATGGGCCTGTTCAGATAAAAGACTTTTTA